AATAGTTTGCGATCCCTGAAAAGGTTTCTACAACCTCACCCCCAAAGTCCATGGACCACCCTTTGAGAACTATAGCAATTAAATGTGCCCACCCTGGGGCTTGGGATATAAAAGTATTGAATAATACAATACCTACTCTGAAGGAGTTTACAGGAGAGACAAACAGGTAACCAAAGAAATATATCTTGTTGAATGCTATAACAAGCAGGGATCAATTACTCTTTGATTACAAAATAATCAAAGACCACCCTTACCTCCAGAAATTTTCTTTCAGTGAGTCTTTGGTGGGATTCAGGAGTCTGCATTTTAAACAAGCACTACAGATGGTTTAGATGCAGGTAGTGTGAGATCCACACTTTGAGAAACATTGCCTTAACCAGTATAAATTTCAGGTTCCCAAGAAGGCCCAGTAGGTAGTATCAGAGATGATGTCTTATGGTATATCTCTCAAAAAACACTGCTTAGTTTCACTGGCTATTGTTTGCAGCTAAATAACAAATCTACCAGCAAAACCCTGGCCAGTGTGGTTTGGTTGGCTAATGGCTCCGTGCACTGAAGGGTGGTGGGTTTGATTCCCGGTCAGGGCACATGCAGGAGGCAACCAATCGATGTCTCTCTTTGTCTCTCTCTCTAAATCAATTATTTAAAAAAAAAAAAAAAAAGTCTGCCAGCAAAGACTTAAAAGGTAAAATCTGAAATAAGCTCTACTTTTTCCCTTTCAATTCTCTAGTGCAGGGGGCCAGATAAATATTTTAGGCTACTGTGGGTCATAAGGTTTCTGTCATAGCTAATCAGTTTCCCTGTTGTGGCCAAAAGCAGCCAGAGACAATGAGTATGTTTTTTGAGAGATACCATAAGACATTATCCCATTAAAACTTTACTTACAGCCTTAACCGATTTGGCTTAGTGGATAGAGCGTTGGCCTGTGGACTGAAGGGTTCCAGGTTTGATTCCGGTCAAGGGCATATACCTTAGTTGTGGGCATATCCCCAGTAGGAGGTGTGCAGGAGGCAGCTGGTCAATGTTTCTCTCTCATAGATGTTCCTAACTCTCTATCCCTCTCCCTTCCTCTCTGTACAAAATCAATAAAATATATTTAAAAAAAAAAACTTTACTTACAAAAACAGGCTTAAATTTGGTTTCTGGTGGTAATTTGCCGACTTCATGCTCCAGAGCAAAAATTAATGCTAATGGCCAATAAGTTGCCTAAATAGCAAAAGGAAGAATCTGAGGGTCAAATGGATTTCATAGCCAAAGTTGGAATAATTTTAGGCATCAATTTGAATTCTCATTTCTTTCCAGAATAAACCATATTTCAATATTCTAAAAGTATGTGTTGAGTGCCTATCAAGGTACAAGGATACATAGTTTTTAGAGGCAGAAGTCCTCAGTCCCTGGTAGACACCTAGGCATCCAGAGTTGAGAAAACTCATCTCTGATGCTCTGACTATAAAACAAGACCAGGGCTTTGGGCTGTGACAGGGATTTTCAAACCCTAATAAATGTTTGAATATGCTAAGTAGATTCTTTAAAATGTAGATCTTTCAGATCCAACACTCAGACGTTCTGTGTAATTAGAGAGGTCATGAATCTACATTTTGATCAAGAATATACAGGCTGGCTCTGGCTGGTATGGCTCAGTTGGTTGGGCATCTTCCTGTGCAGCGAAAGGTTGCTGGTTCGATTCCCAGTCAGGGCACATGCCCGGGTTATGTGCTCGATCCCCAGTAGGGGGCATGCAGGAGGCAGCAGATCGATGTTTCACTCTCACATCAATGTTTCTCTCTCCCCCTCTCCCTCTCGCTCTCTAAAAATCAATTAAAAATTATTTTTAAAAAGTATACAGGCTGCGAAAGAACTTGGCTGGAGATCCTGGCTAGAGAACCTGGCTAGGCTGCTGATCAGCTAAACGCTGTCTCCGTGTCATTCCTTCTTCGCCGACTCCGTCCACACCTTTGGGAACCCCTGGACCTGCTGGGGTTGGCCCCCAACAAACAGCTATCATCCAGAACCACGGGAAAGCTGGCTGAGTGGAAGTTCTACAACTAGAAGGAAAGAAAGAAGCGCATTGAGATTGAGTAGGAGGTGCAGAGGCGCCAAGAACAGAGATTCCAACCGAGAGAACATGTCATTTAGATTCGGCCAACATCTCATCAAGCCCTCTGTGGTGTTTCTCAGGACAGAACTGTCCTTCGCCCTCGTGAACAGGAAACCTGTGGTCCCAGGGCATGTCCTGGTGTGTCCCCTTCGGCCAGTGGAGCGCTTCCGAGACCTGCGTCCTGATGAAGTGGCTGATTTGTTTCAGGCCACCCAGAGGGTCGGCACGGTGGTGGAAAAGCATTTCCAGGGGACTTCTCTTACTTTTGCTATGCAGGATGGCCCCGAAGCCGGACAGACTGTGAAGCACGTTCACATCCATGTTCTGCCCAGGAAGGCTGGAGACTTTCACAGGAATGACAGCGTCTATGATGAGCTCCAGAAACATGACAAAGAGGAAGCGGACTCCCCAGCCCTGTGGAGATCGGAGGAGGAAATGGCAACAGAAGCCGCGGCGCTGCGGGCCTACTTTCAGTGATGCAGGCATGAAAAGCAACTCGAACAAATCCCAAGGCATAAGGAAATGGGCCTGTTCTCAGGACTCTGCAGCATCGGAAATGAAGCCAAGCAGACTTTATTACATCCTCCAATTCGGCAACCTTTTGCTCAGCATTTTATTACCCTGCGGAAGCCACCCGGTTATGTTTCAATCACGATGACTGACAAGCTAACTTCAACACCACGGCATCGGCAGCCCTTCCGCCCTCCTAGGTCTGCGCCCTCAGAACAGAGCCCTTTCTAAATTGTCCCTGGGCCTGGATGGAAATAAAACGGCAGTTAAGGTATTAAAAAAAAAAAAAAAACTAATACTATGGGACACGGAAAACCTGATAACAGTAAAAATTATGAAGGTGGAGCCCTGGTCAGTGTGGCTCAGTTGGTTAGGCTTTATCCCATGCATTGAAAGTTTGCTGGTTCAATTCCCAGGTTTCCAGCTGGATCCTGGGCGGGGGATTCTCTCTCATCATTGATGTTTCTATCTCTCTCTTCCTCTCCGTTCCTCTCTGAAATCAATAAAAATGTATTTTAAAAAAAAGTATACAGGCTGCTACTGTGAGGCAAGGTGCTTAAATCAGAAACACAGAAGACCTGAGCTATAATTTCAGCTGTACCACTTACTTTGTTTATAAAATCAGAATGTTAGAACCAGAAGAAAACGTAGACATCCAGTGTGATATTCTATTCCAGCCCAAAGTTGGTGGTTTTCATAAGTCCATAACCATTAATGAAAAGGCATTTTATTACTTTATTCGGTGCAACTGAATAGTTCCTGCCCTCAACTTGAATAATCTTAGATTTTTTTACTTTGAGGAAAGTAATTTATACTTTCCTTATGATTTCTCTGTCTTACTTCATTGAGGGCTGTTTGTTTTGAAAGCTGGTAACTTCAGTTAAATGGTACAGCAAGGTGGCTTTCCTCTAGCCCATGGAGGTTTCCATCAAGCCAAGTCCTCTTGGCAACGGTGGTCAGATTGAGCAAATGTAAATGTAGCACATGCAACTGTAAAGTATAACACTTTCAGAAAAGAAAAAAAAAAAAAAAACCAGGAGCAAATCTTCAGGAACCTTGGGTGAACAAGGACATCTTAGAGACCTAGCAATCCTTAAAAAGGAAAACTGGTAAATAGGATTTCACCAAAATTTGAAAGTTTTGTTCTGTAAAAGACTGTTATGAAGATGAAAAGATGCCCTGGCCGGTGTGGCTCAGATGGTTGAGCATTGTCCCATGCACCAAGAAGTCGAGCCAAGTCAGATCCCATCCCTGGTGCAGGATGTGCAGGAGGCAACGAATTGATGTTTCTCTCTCTCCCTTTTCCCTTCCTCTCTCTAAAATCAATAAAAACACATTTTTTTAAAAAAGATGAAAAGATAAGCTATTAGACTGGGATAAAACATTTATAAACCACATATCCAACAAAGCAGTCGTATCTAGAAAACAAAGAATTCTTAAAATTCCACAATGAAAATACAAATAATGGACCCCAAGTTTGGTTTTAATACTCTTCTTCAATAAGAAGAACCAGGCCTTCTTGGAGAAATAACTGATTCTACAACTAGAACAAGAAATACACAAGATGAGTCTGGAGAATCTTGTAGTGCTAGAAAGGAAGGAAGGACTTAAAGAAAAAAGCCACACAATGAGGGGGCATGTCAAAAGGACACAACTGAAAGAGCTCCCAATGGCCAAATCAAGACAATATAAGTAACAAAATAAGGTAGTATTAGATCATAATACAAAGTATAAAATAAATGAGTCCATATTGATAAAAATTATTGACTAAAATAAGTGAGAGAGATTAGACAAACCTCCCTTGCAGGGAAATTCCAAATAATTTATGTAGATAAACATTCTCCAGGTGGAAGCTAACTCCCCCACTCCTTAAGTGTGGAACTGCATATGGTGACTTTCTTCCAAAGAGTACAGTATTGAAAAAGGCGGGGGTGGGGGGGAAGAGCAGCTTTATAGTGGAGAAACCTAACAACACTACCTCAGCCAGGTGATTAAGGTTAGCATCAACAGCATAAGTTGTGTTGACAGTATATACATCTGTTATATGATGAGAAGGGCACTTACCTCTGTGGTCTTCCATAAACCCACAGCCCAAGTGTAATTATGAGAAAAACATCAAACAAATCCCAGTTGAGGGACATTCTACAAAATATCTGACCAGAACTCCTTAGGACTGTCAGAATCATCAAAAATTAGAAAAGTCTAAGAAACTGTCACATCCAAGAGGCTTCTAAGGAGATGTGATGACTAAATATAATGTGGTATCCTAAATGGAAACCTAGAAGAGGAAAAGGATGTTAGGTAGAAACCAAGGAAATCTGAATATAGTATTGACTTTAGTTAATAAGAATGTATTAATATGGTCCATTAATTGTAACAAATCTACAAAACTAATTTAAAGTAGAAAGTCTGTAGTATATCAACAATTTTTCTGTAAATCTAAATATTCTAAAATAAGTTTATTAAAATAAGTCCAGTTAGAAAATGGGTAAAGACATGCACAGGCATTTTATGGAACAGAATATACAGATGGCAAATAAACACATGAAAAGATATTCAACATCATTAACCATTAAGGAAATGCAAATTAAACCACAATGAGATATCATTACACACTCATCAGAACGGCTTAAAAAAATAGTGACACCAAATAATGGCAAGGATGCAGAGAAATTCATACATTGCTGGTGAAAATGTAAAATGGTATAGCCACTCTAGAAAAGTTTGGTAGTTTCTTTAAAAATTAAACATGCAACTATCATATGACCCAGAATTACACTCCTGGGCATTTATCCCAAAGAAACAAAAACTATGTCCCACAAAAACCTGTACATGAATATACATAAAAGCAGCTTTATTTATAAGAACCTCAAACTGGAAACAACCCAGGTGTCCTTCAACAGGTGAATGGTTAAACTGTGCTACATCCATATCTCAGACTACTCCTTGGCAATAAAAAAAGTACTGATAGAGGAAACAACTTGGCTAAATCTCAAGAGAATTATGCCGAGTGGAAAAAAAGCCAATCTCTCTAATGTCAACATACTGTACCATTCTACTTACATAACATTCTTGAAATGACAAAATTTAGAAATGGAGAAGAGATTAGTGGTTACCAGGGGTTTTTAGTATGGTTGGAAAACAGAAGCAGGTGTGCCTATAAAAGGTCAAGAGGAGGAAAAAGTGTGATGATGGAATTGTTCTATATCTTGACTATATGAATGTCGATATCCTGATTGTGACATTGCAGCAAGATTTGCATTATATTACCCTTGAAGAAAACTGGGTAAAGGGTACATGAAAGCTCTGCATTATTTCTTGAATCTGCATGTGACTTTATAATTATCTCAAAATAATTTTAAAAATACAGTAAATAGTCCCTTCTTATCCACAGTTTCACATTCCATGGTCTCAAGTTACCAGTGGTCAACCATAGTCTGAAAATATTAAATGGAAAATCTCAGAAATAAACAATTCCTAAGTATTCAACTCTGGGCCTTTCTGAGTAGCATGATGAAAACTTGCACTGTCCCATTCCTTCCCACCTTGGACATGTATCACCCCTTTGTCCAGCATGATCCACACTGTACGTACACTACACTAGATACTCTGAGATAGAGACCACATTCATGTACGTTTTATGACAGCATATTGTTATAATTGTTCTATTTTATTATTAGTTGTTAATCTCTTACTATGCCTAATTTATAAATTAAACTTTGTATAGGTACGTATGCATAGGAAAAAACATAATATATCTAGGGTTCGATATTACCTGCCGTTTCAGGCATCCGCTGAGGGTCTTAGGATGTATCTCCCCTCACATAAGAGGGAGCTGCTGTACTCCCAGTTACATTTGAATTTCAGAAAAACAATCCTTTTTAGTCCCAGCATGTCCCATGCAATATTTAGAACACACGTATACTAAAAGATGATTTGTTGTTTTATCTGAAATTCAAATGTAAGTGGGAGTCCTATGTTTTATCTGGCAATACTACTCGTGGCATTAGGCTACCAAGATAAATTATATATTGCAAAATAAGGTAACATTTAAGGGGTGGCTGTGAGAAAATGTGCACTGATCCCAGAAACCCCTAAATCCTCACTCTCAGCAGCTGGCACCTCCTCTGCCTCATATTTCATTACAGCAGATGTGCTACTATTGCCCACTACAGGAGAAAAGCCACATAGAATATATATAAAACCCTCCTGTTTAAACACAGGATTGAAAACTATCCAGATAATATTCCCTTCCCAATTTCAAATTTAAAATAGCTATCCCGCCGAAACCGGTTTGGCTCAGTGGATAGAGCGTCGGCCTGCGGACTAAAAGGTCCCAGGTTCGATTCCGGTCAAGGGCATGTACCTGGGTTGCGGGCACATCCCCAGTAGGAGATGTGCAGGAGGCAGCTGATCGATGTTTCTCTCTCATTGATGTTTCTGACTCTCTATCTCTCTCCCTTCCTCTCTGTAAAAAATCAATAAAATATATTTTAAAAAAAATTAAAAAAAATAAAATAAAATAAAATAGCTATCCCACTCCAAGAAAGATGATAATTAAAATAGGGTGTGTTTTCTAGGAATAATTTTGAGTCTCTAGTAAAGTAACACTATAAAAAATACAAGCAAGAACTACTAGACATCTGAGAAATCTCTTTAACATGATAAAGATGGAGATAAAAAAAAGAAAGGAGCCCTGGCCAGTGTGGTTCAGTTGGTTGAGCATTGTCCGGTGCACTGAAGTGTCACCGGTTCAATTCTCCATCAGGGCACATACCCAGGTTGCAGGTTCGATCCCAGTCAGGATGCCTATAGGAGGCAGCTGACTGAAGTTTCTCTCTTCATCTCTTTCAATATCAATTGAAACAAGTAAAGAAAGAAAGAGAGGGAGGGAGGGAGGAAGGAAGGAGGGGGGGGAGAGAGAGAGAGAGAGAGAGAGAGAGAGAAAGA